GTCGACTAACTGGGGCGAAGGTCTCGGTGAAGTCTCGTCCTTGTTCCTAGTCGAATCCACGCACGACCCAGCGTGCTTTGAACTTCTCGATTGTGCCGTCAGCTTTCGTCTTGATGCGGAAGACCCATTTCCCGGTGAGAATGGTCTTGTTCCGTGCCACGCTTGCGGGAACGACCTTCCAGGTGTTGCGTTCCTCCAATGCCTTTAATTCCCTGTCCATGGCTTCACGCCATTTTTCCCTGTGTTCCCCCCCCAGAGCCTGCTGAACTGTCGCAGGCTCTTTAGGAAGAGTGTTGCCGGCGGTCCCGTGGACTGCGGTGACGAGGCCAAGGATTTGTAGCCCAGTCTGTGAGTATCGAGGGAGTTCTGGATCCTCGGGATAAGCTGCTTCGTCTCCCGCTTCTGGGTCGGGGATGAAATTTGGCCCTATCCTTTCTGCTTCGTTGGTGTTGACTGTCGCAGGTGTTACGTAACCGTTGTCGGCGAAGTGGTAGAAGACTTCGGCGTTGTTACTGTCGCGAGGATTATCTTCATCCATGGGCACATCGACGGAGCAGTACGGGAGAGGTCCGGCTTCCTCCGATGCGTTGTCGACGTTCTGTTCATCCCAGTCTGCTTCGTCCGCTGCTGAGGCGAAGGCTCGGTCACCACGAAAGCCACCTGTGGGGTCCCGATTCTCGTGCAAGTTGGCGAGGTACGTCTGAAGGGTGAGTCGTTCGTAGAAGATCACATCACGTGCTGCTACTGTTTCTTTTGTGTGGACGTCGAAGATTCTCCACGCGTTGTAATTTTTCTCGATGTTGAGGTGTAGTCCCCACTGTGCCCGTTGCGAAAATCTTCCCGCTCGTGCTTCTGGGGGTCGGTACTGTACCATGCACCCAAAAACTCGTAACATTTTTGTGCTGCCCTGCTTTCCTGTCCACAGCAGATGCGGTGATGCGTTGTTCGGGAGTGACGACGACGAAAGCAAGTTGTGCAGCATGACAGCATGGTCCATTGCTGCTGGCCACTGGTGGTTGGGTAGCCGCATGCCACGTAGTAGTTTGCGCATGCTGTTCTGCAGGGTCCTGTTCATTCTTTCTGCAACACCCTGCTGCTGATGTGCGTAGGGAAGGGAGAGGAGTTGCTTGATCCCCCTTTCCGCCAGGTACTGCTTGAAGCGCTGAGAGGTGTATTCGCCACCTCCGTCTGACTGGAAGCTTTTCAGCTGCGTTCCTGATTCCCTTTCTGCTACCGGTAGCCAAGCGGCGAATGCTGCGAGTGCCATGTCGCGGCTGGGTAGGTTGCGATGCCAGACGTATCGAGTGGCGGCGTCGATGAAGGTAATCGTGTAATTATAGGTTACTTGGCCTGGTTCTCGATTGTAGAGGATGTCGCTGTAGACTTTTTCGAGTGGTGCGTATGCAGGTGCGCTCGGGTTGTGGTGAGAAGAAAAAGGTCGATGTGGTAAGTCGGCCTCGGGGCAGATGAGGCAAGTCCCCCGTGCACGTTGAAGTTCTCTGCCGTCGAGTAGTAGTAGCGAGTCTTTGTCTAGCACTCCTGCTCGTATCGTATTATTTAACACCGTGTTACTTGGATGTCCTGTGCGTGCGTGCCAGATGTCTTCGGAGGCGCGGTGTCCGAGTGAACGTTGATATGCGTCGGAGTTGGAGTAGAAGCTGGCGACGAGGTTGGCGCTGCGGTGGACTTCTCGTTGAGTCGGGTTCAGCTGTTGTGCGGGTGTTGGTGGTGCTTCGTCGACGATGACTGGTGTCGTTGTTCCTGCTGCTGCCGATGTTGTTGCTGCTGCCGATGTTGTCTCTGCTGCTGCCGATGTTGTCTCTGCTGCTGCCGATGTTGTCTCTGCTGCTGCCGATGTTGTCTCTCCTGCTGCCGATGTTGTCTCTACTGCTGCCGATGTTGTCTCTGCTGCTGTCGATTGTTGAATTGTTGCTAATGCTCGTGTTCCCTCTGCTTCAGGGATGGTGTGTGAGTACCAGAAGCCTCCTGGACTGAAATCAGGATCGAGGTCCGGAGGGTGTGTCCAGTCGGTAAAGTTGACGATGGCGTCGCTGTCTGCAGTGCCCAGGTCGGGGACGAAGTCAAGAACGAAGACGTTATTCTTCAACACTGCTTTTCCGATGTAGAGGCCGCCCCTCCCGTGGTATAACTTAAATTCCTGGGTGGTGCTGTCGGCTTCCAAGTGAATCCCCTTCGCCATCAGCTGGCTAACACTCAGTAAGTTGTAACCGAGTCCTTCTGCGATGAGTACTTTTGACATGTGTAGTATAACGTTGGTCTCTCTTGATTGAAGCTGAACGACTCCTTGTCGTCTTGTGCGCAGGTTCTGGTTGTTGGCGACCGTGATGACTACTTCTCGCTGGAGTCGATGTTCGCGTTGTACGAAGCGCCCGGAGGAGCACATGTGTTGTCCGCAGCAACTATCCAAGAACCAAGTGTCTTGGCCGGACGGTTCGCTTTGAGCGATGGCGGCGTACGTCGGATTCGGCTGGAGTGATTCGCGGCGAGGCGTCCTGTTGTCGAGCTCCTCTTCTGGTGAGTAGTAGGGTGGCGACTCTGTAATGCAGGAATCGTTTATCTTTACCATGCAGTTGACGATGCTTCTTGTTGCTTGTGCAGGTTGTCCAGTTGAAGTCGTTGAAGCTTGGATCGTGGTCGTCGGACTTGCTTGCGTTGAAGTAACTTGGGAGCTTGAAGGCCGTAGTTGTCGCTGTGGTGTTGTCTGACGAGACGGGCAATGCGTGCGAGGATGGCCCGAGGTTTTGCAGATGTGGCAGAACGGAGGTACCGTTTTTACTTGCTGTTGTCGATTGTTGTTGCCGTTGTGTCGTCGCTGAGTGTGAAAAGCAAATTCTGGTGCTAAAGCTTTCTTCTTGTGTCTTTCTTCTTGCAGGTCCATGTCCTGCTGCTCAGCATGAATTTCGGCGCAGAGTGCCGCTTCGGAGATCCTCCCGTGTGCTCGTAATATGGCGCGAGTGGAGCGCCAGTGGGGGCCAAGACCGCCGATGACCACCGTGACAAAGGCGTCTTCTGAGATTGACCCGCCGCATCGAAGAAGCTTGTCGCGCAGTTCGCGGCAGCGGCTGATATAAGCCATGCCTTTCTCGCCTGGTTTCATTTCAATCGTTGTCAGCTGCGCCATTAACTTGCTTTGGTTTACGCTGTCTGTTGCTTGATACAGGTTCTTCAGGTGGTTGTACGCGAGCTCCGCGGAGTTGCCGTAGCCTCGGTAAGTCCTGATGTTCTGCTGCTGGGTTGGGGTGATGTTCCTCAGCAGAATCGTGTACGCCATCATCGATTGATATGTATATTGCTGCTTCTCATATTGTGTCCCGTTTGTTGGATATGGCAGGGACCCGTCGAAGAAGCCGAGAATCTGTGCTCCTTCCATCATCAGTTCAAACTCGAATGACCAGGTGAAGAAATCTTTGCCGTCGAAAGGCTTTGTCGTTTGTAGTTTTAGGACATGCGCGAATTGCGATTGGACTTGTAACGCATCCAATGTCCTTTCTTGTCCCGATGCAGGTTGCGGTTGCGGCATGAAGCTGACGGAGCCACGTTGGGGCTCGTACGGCGCGAAGGTAGGCTGCTGTTGTTGTTGTTGCATCCCGCGTGCATAGGATGAGCCGTCGAGGCTCATCGGAGTAACATTGTTGTTGTTGTTGTTGTTGTTTGACTGCGCAGGCACTCCTTGCTGGTGTTGCTCGTAGAAGGACATGAAGGAGAAAAATTTCTCCATCATGTTTGAATCCAAGCCTGCTGGTGTTTCCGTGGACCCAGCTGCTGGTCTTGCGGTAGTGCCTTCCTCTGTCTGTAGGCCAGAGGCAGGAGGTGGAGTAGGAGTAGTGCCTGGGGAGCCGTTGGAGGAGCTCCTCTCCTTCCTTGCAGACATGTCTTTTTTCTTTGTATTTAAGTATTGAGAGAGAAAATGATCTTAAACTCTAACTGCTCTCATACCATGTTGGGCTGAGAAGCCCTAGGATCTTTGTAGAGCTTAAGGACTGAATAGGATTGTAATAGCGGAAGCGTTGAAGTATACAGTGATTGAACCACCTTGCGCTAGTATGTGAGGGCAAAGTAAGTTAGATTAAACAAGCAAATACAAGGTTTATATAAGAGTACAAGGAATACGAATAGATAGATTTAAACCGTTTTACTGTTGCGATTCGATACAGTGCGACTCGGGCAACTGCTCAATGTCGAGTCAGTTGTGTGTCCTTGCTGTCGCGCTGTAATTGTCGAGTCAAAGGTCGCTGACCTTTGACTTTCCCGTAACCTCTAGGCGGTTACCCTAACCTCCGAGGGTTGACTCGCGATGCTTCGATTTGGGCTGCTTCGCTAGTGTCCTGAGTTTCGACACGACAGAGGCGCCTTAAGACTTATTGTTCCCAACAAGAGTGAATGTAAATGACTGAGTTGATGAGAGCATGCATACATCGAGAATATAGGGGAATACGAAAGGACCTAGACTAGCCATGTACTCTAAGGGGTACATTCCCTTATTACAGCAAATTCAAACCGTGCGGCGCGGGAACCCGTTTTGAACCTGTTCCCGCTCTTTTCACTTCAAATATTTCTGACTGCATCGGTCTTGGTCAGACGGTTGCTGCGTCGCTTCGACTCTTCTGACTCCTCGACTTCGTACTCGGTAGAGTCGGCTCTTGCAGCATACAGGAATGCCTTCTCATAAAACTTCATATCGTAACAAGCAGTAACGGGCGAACAACGGCTGCTGCTTTATGCGATGTTGACAGTCGCGGTAAGGAATGTCTAGAAAATTCCTGATAGTGTGTAACAACAACGGAAATTTTCCAGCCATCTAGACGCAAGGATATTGGTGAAGCTGTGACCGTTTCCCATTCCCACACCTCTCGTGTGGTGTGTTGAGGGACCAACGGTCGCCATTCGCGACAATAGACTTCGTCATGCTCGCGAAAGTATGTGGCTCGCAAATCCCTGACTGCGGGGACAGGGCGCGCAAATTCAAAAATCCATGTCTAATGTGCGGCTCGAGCTCGGAACTAATTTTCGTTTTTCCAGCTTCACCGCCCGTGCGCGCAGCAATACCACCTTCCCAACCATCGTCCATGGGGCGAATTTCCTTTAACATTCTGGGAATAGCGTAGGTCGCATCTGATATGCATCGATTGTTGTGTCTCCGGCCCTGCTCCTCCCTAGCCGTTTCATATAGATCAGCAGGAATATTTCGTTAACAGAGGCCTACCTTGAGGAAGTACACTTTGTTTTACCGATGATTTGAGTGCAGTCGTGAAACTGATGCATATGCTCCGCCTAGTCACAGGTACTGCAATGGCTGCTCCGTCGTGCCGCCACAAGTCTCCCTCCCATGATCCTTCCAAGGAATCTCTCCAGGCTTTACTGCACCCCTGCTCCAGTTGTTTCCTCTCCAGTCGCCGCGTTTCGTCCCTCTTCTCCCTCCTCCCACGCTCCTCTCTCCACATCCTCCTCCTCGTATCCCTCCTCACACTATCGTTGCTTTCGCACTCTCTGGCCGTCAGCTCAGGCAAATCTGACCGCTCTGTCTCCTCCATCGCGCCGCGCGCGTCGGGAGTGCTCCAGGTCCGCGAAAGACTGGGAGGCGCGGGGCATTCTTCTCGCAACGCCGCGCGGCCACGGCGCGCGAAGAAGAACAAGAAAGGCAAGCGGACCGGGGCGCGCAAGGCCAAACATCCCCAGGGGAAGGGGAACAACAAGAAGGGCTCTGGCAGCGTGAGAAGCGGACGCGGCAAACGCGACGCCGGCACTCACGGCGATCCTTTCAAACGAGGCACGAATCACAGCATGCGCAGCAGCGCGAGCATGCTAACCAGCCTCCAACGCATCATCAACGCGCCGCGAGCCGGTGGCTGTAACATGGCGACTGGCGAAGGGTGTTCCGCTGGCGACCATCACTACATTGATCCTCTTTCCAACGGGCTTCCGAACGGCGGGCCGCTCATGGCGCAGATTCAGGCTGCCACAGCGCCACGTAGGCGAGAAGTGGATGACATTATTCAAAACGCGTACGCTGCCAAGTCAACTGGCGAGCTGCGTTACCAGCTGACGCTGTCGCTTCGCTCCATTCGTATGGCCCGTCGCAGCATGTACATTGCGTCGCCACTGTGCCGTCGCTCGCTCAAGTTCGCCATTTCGCAGTCCAAGAAGGTTGACAGATTTCTTCGCAAGGGCGACGTCGCACACGCGCGCAAGCAGACGGTGCTCCTCGCCAAGGCCGTCGTCGACTGTCAGCGAGACGTCGGGAGCGTTATCGCGAAGCGAAGCAGTAACGGTGCGCCGAAAGCGCATGGTTACGAAGTAGAGACCGCGACAACACAAGGCACGAGCCTGGCTGGTGGCAGGAACAGCGACGTTGGCGGTTTCGTGGAATCATTGTCCGTACTCGACCAAGCCGCCTTCACGACAGCTGCGACGGCTGCGAAAATCCTCGCCGAAAGTGGCGACGAGTACAGCGACAGCTTTCAGGAGTTGGAGAACGCTGTTATTCGCTTGAGCGCCGTTGGGCAGACGCTGAAGCGCGTGAGCGGCGCGCGGGGAATGTCACGCGGAATTGTGGGACCGGAGGGGAACCAGGGGCTCCAGGAGGTCCTGCAAAAGCCGCCGACGCGTGCGACGAGCATCGTGGACTTCGTCGTGGATTACGGAGAGGAGCTGGTTACCACGCTCCCGAAGGACGTAACGACGCTGACCTTCAACGGCACGCTCGGTAAGTCGCATCCGCCAGAGCCCCTCTCCCTCGCCACTCGCGATTAGATTTAGGTAGGAGACTCACAAGAGCTCCAGTCTCGTCCCATCGCATCGCCCTGCCTCACCGTTCCCCCTCCCTCCCTTCTCCGCCCTGTCCTGTTCTCCTTGCTCTTCTCCTTCCCCTCTCCCCCCCTTGGCGGCGTTCAGGCGCGCGCATCCACTCCGCGCTGGCCTTCCCCTCGGGGGTGTTTTCCGCGCGCCTGCAGTGTCCGCAGGGGCAGGCGAGCGGGCTCGACACCACCTTCTATGTGAGACCCCCCGCCCCGTGTTCGACGCCAACGCTGCGCTTCCTTCTCTTGAAATCAGAACATTACCGTTGCTACTACTAACTCTACATTGGGACTAAGCCCAGTGCTTCACGCGTGTTGGCACTTAGCGAGCGTGTTGAAACTGCTCTCTTCCGAAAACGCACGGTCCCCAGTCGAGTCTTCTCCAAAATCGCATCACCTTCCCCTCCCACCCTCCGCCATTCCCTCACACTTCCTCACACTCTCCCCTCCACCCGTCTCCGCTCCTCGACCCCCTCTCTCCGCGCGCGTTCCCCCACCCGCCACCCCGCAGCTGTCGACGGTGGAGGGCGGCCCGGCGACGGACGCGATCGTGATGAGCGTGTTCGGCAACGCGCGCACGCGCGTGCGGTGCATGGTGATCGTGGACGGCGTGCCGGGCAGCACGCAGGAGGTGGAGGTGGGCGACGACTGCGCCGTGGGCTTCCATAACATCACCATCATGTGGAGCAAACAGCTCATCATGTGCGCGCGCGGCGGGGGTGGGGATGGGGAAGAGGGGGGGAGAAGTAGGGGGGTTGTGGAGACTGGGGAAGGCGGGGGTTGACATGCGGGCTTGTTATTTCGGCGCCTCGATTGCAGTTCAAGCGCTCCCCGTGTCACTGCATCCAGGTTCCCATTCGCATTCGCATTCGCATTCGCATTCGCATTCGCATACTCACGCCTATTTCACCCCCCTCTACGCCCCCCTCTCCCCTTGTCCCCCCCCTTTCAGATGGATGTACGACAACCAGGTGCTGCGCGTGCTATCGCGCGACATGCTCTCGCCCTTCCCGCTCTCCACCACAATGTTCCTCTACGCCTCGCTCTACGACACCTCGCCCTACCCTTACGCCTGGCAAGCCGGCTACCTCCGCTCTTCCGCGCTCTCCCTCTCCGCCACCTACGCCGCGCCCACCGCGCTCGCCCCTACGCCCTCCCTCAACTTCAACCTGCCGCTGGACCCGTTACTAGGTGCCCCGTTAGAGACACGCCCGAAGGGGCGGGTGATGGGGCGAGGGGCAATGTGGCCCGTGGCGATCGACTACTGCTCGACGCACGTGGAGACGCAGAGGGGGTACCAGTCAATCCGGTTCGACGGCACGGGGTGTGGCGGGCGCTTCCACTCCACGCTGCGCTACTTCAGCGGAACGTTCTCCGCGCTCTACCAGTGCCCGCGGGGGAACGCGTCCGGTCTCGTGTCCGCGTTCTACGTGAGTGTGAAGGGAGGAGGGGGATTGGGGGAGGGGGATTGGGGGAGGGGGATTGGGGGTGGGCTCCTTGTGTTGATCTCTCTCTCCGTACTCACGCTGCTCGTGACGCGTTTGGCCCTCTGGCCGCCCTGCACACGCATACTTCCCACCCACCCCAGTTCGTACACAGCACCACACTAGCATCAGACACCAGCCTCACTAACTCCCCTCTACCATCCACCCATCTCCCCTGTCCCCCTCCCCACACATCTCCCCCTCTCCATCCCCAAGCGCATCACCCACGCCACTCCCCGCGCGCAGCTATCCTCCAGGACGAGATAGACGTTGAGCGGCTGGGCAACGTTCAACCAAGCTGAAACTCACCTGCGGCTGGGCAAGAAACACCGAGCCGTGCAGACTGAATCTGACCAGTCGACTCAAAAGTCACCCCCCGCGCCCCCCCCCTTCCAACCTGCTCCACACCACCCCTGGCCGCACCCCCCCACTTGTGCAGCTATCGTCGGAAGAGGGCAGCAGGTTCCAGGACGAGATCGACTTCGAGTGGCTGGGCAAGAACCACCGCGCCGTGCAGACCAACTTCTACGTCAACGGGGGCGGCGGCCGCGAGGTGCTCGTGCCGCTCGCCTTCGACTGCTCCGACGCTTACCACAACTACACGCTCTCCTGGACCAGGGAGAAGATCCGCTGGTATGTGGACGGCGCGCTTGTGAGGGAGGCGTTATCCAGTCAGTCTGACGCGTATCCGGTGAAGCCCATGTATGTGTATGGGTCCATGTGGAATGCCAGCTGGGTGGTCAACGGAGGGTGGTCCGGCGCGTATAGTGGCGTGGACGTGCCTTATTTCGCCAAGTTTAAGGGTATTAGGATCGGGACGGCTTGAGGGAGGGAGGGAGGAGAGCTTGCAGGAAGGCGGGGAAGGCGGGGATACAGCGAAGCAGGATTGCAGAGATGACGAGAGTCGTGCACTCTCTTTCTTTGATACGAGCACACTCCCCTTGTTAGCTTCTGCCTCTAACTTGCATGACAGGGCAACACTCAGCAATAGCGGATGGCACATGGCTCTGTGCCTCCTTGGTGGCTAACCCCACACAACCAGGTTTGAGCTAACTGCCGTGCCCCTTTGTTCTTCTAGGTCTCCAGCTTCTGTTTCAGTGCAGCACAAGTTGCTCTTGCTCAAGAAGCCTTTAGTTAGTATTTGTCACCACCCTAGACATGTTTAGTGGTTTTTATTTTAACCTGGATCATGGTCTGTGCACATTGTTTTAATTCAATAATTCTCTGATTACGGTACCCTGAACCTCTAAATGTGTGAGGATACCTGATTGACACTTGTGTGTGTTCCCAATGAAGCCGCGTCTGTGTCGTGTTGAAGGCTTCCAGGGAGAGTCATTTCAGTTTACCACTCCATCCTCTCCTGCACAAAACCCTTGGACTTGATCCTTCGAAGCAACACAGTTGTTCAGACACTGCAACTGCTGACATGAAAATGTCGCACATAGGTGAAAAGGATTACATATTGCAGTACATCACAAATCAAATTATGCATCACTTACAGATAGAACCTCTCCTTTACCCGGTTCAGGCAGCAGTAACAGACACAACACGCCTGTAACCATACCATATAGCCCAAAGATGAACAGGGGATAACTAGGGGAGGTGCGACCGAGGAGCACTATATGGGGTACAAGCACTGTAGCGACTTGGCCTGCCTGCGTGACTATAGCGAGAGACAAGTGGCGGATGGAGGTGGGGAAGAGCTCTACCTGAAGCACATAGGCAGAGGAGAAAGAGGAGGTGATACAAAAGAGGGCGAGGAGGGAGCAGAGAGGTGGGATAAAAGGGAGGAGGGAGTTTGACTGTACATGTGACTTTGCCTGTACATACTGGTATGAGTGTGACTGTACATGTGCCTGTAATTGTGACTGTACAGGTGATTGTGACTGTACACATGATTGTGACTGTACACATGATTGTGACTGTACATGAGCCTCTTCCTGTACATGTGGCCCATGCAGTAGCTCCAAGCCAAGCAGGTATGTGCCAGTGCTTCTGTGCTCTCCCCCTGCCGCCACGGGCAGAAAAATGTCCTTCCACTCCAGACCAGGCATGTCCTTTCTAAGCCTCCCCCTCGTCCCACCATCACTCATACCACTCCCGCCCTCTGCCGCCCCTGCTCTTAGCAGCTCTCTTCTGCTTCCACTGCTGCTTCCCCTGCTGCCTCCCCTGTCGCTGCCACTTCCTCCCCCATTTTCCTGCACTAGCAGCCCCCCTTCCCCCCCCACCTGCGCCAACACCAGTCCCCCTCCCTCTCCACCTCCCCCACCCCCTCCCCGTGGCCCATGCGCCAGCAGCACCGTGCCCCCAATAGCACACAGCAGGCTGCCCAGAATGAGGGAGCAGCTGACGAGGCGGCGGCGCCCCACGCGGTTGATGAGGCAGCCGGAGAGCAGGATGGAGGGCACCTGCACCACTGCCACCAGGTACGTCGCTGCTGCAATGCTGCTCGTCACACTGCTGCTGCTCGTGAGAGTAGTGCTGCTGCCGCCGCTGCCTGCTGCTGCGAGTTGGTCCGCAAGAGCAGTGGCGAGGTTGGCGGTGTTGAGGGTGAGGCCGTTGTAGAGAGAGGAGGAGGTGAGGAAGAGCAGTACCATGAGGCACAGCCGCTGCAGGTGAACCCGCGACCACAGCAGCTCCTGCAAGCCCCCACCCTTGCCTGCACCTCCTCTACCTGTGCTGCCTGCTGCACCTGCTGTTCCACCTCCCCCAGCTGCACCTCCCCCAGCTGCACTCTCATCACCTCCGAGCGACAGACGGTGCAGATGCGCCCTGGGTGATGGTGACTCCCTCAACTCCCCCCTGGCTGCACCTCCGCCTGTGCTGCCTGATGCACCAGCTGTGCTGGCGGCACAGGAAGCAACGCAGCCACCAGGTGAACCTGCACCAGTTACACAATATTCAGTAGTTGAACCTTCACCACCACCACCCCTACCTGCCGCGTTTGCACCTTCGCAGACAAAGCCTCCCCCACTTGTAACTGCACCTGTTCCTCCTCCTCCTCTGTTTATACTCTCCAATGCTTCTTGAAGCTGCTGACTTGCCACCAACCCACTTGCAGCTTCCCAGGGTTCAACACGGTTTTCAGCTGCTGAAAGGTCAGCACAATTCTCGGCACAACTTTCAACCGCCCTAAACCCGTTACAACTTTCAACTGCCCGGCAACCAGTACAGTTTCCAGCTGCCCAAACATCAGGAACCAGCACCACCCCCGCAGGAATCACCCGGCCGTTCCCCTTCGCCAGACCCTGCAACACTTGCAGTGCTCCCTCTCTTCCTCCCCTCTCCAGCAGCCATTTCGGCGACTCACACACCCATGTAACCGCTCTAAGCTCTTTCCAAACCACTCCCTGAGCCTTGTGACGCCTCACAACTACCTCAGCTGCTTGAGTAGCTGCCCTGCTCTCCCCTCCTCCCCACCTTGCCAGGGCCGCTACTGCTTCTGTCTCCACCCTTGTGCTGCACCCCCCTCTCCTCCCCCCTCCTTGGGCCACTGCCTGTGCTTCTTCCTCAAATACCCCTGCCGTGTTCTCGCCTTGCGCCTCCCCTGACTGGGGCACAAAAAGATAACTGCTATCGTAACTATCTCCTCCTGCAATACCCGCACCTCCAACACCCACTCTCGACGCTGCAGGGATGTCTTTCCTGGCCAAGAAACCCATTATTTTTGCCACGTGCTGGGACATGATTGGCCGGACGGCGAGCAGCAGCGGCGGGAGGAGGAGAAGCGCACAGTACACTCCGCCAACTCCCCCTCCAGCAAGCAAATACAGGCGCCGCCACGACGGGGCGGCGGATGCTTCTGGTGCAGCTACATCCCACCTTGCCGGTGGTGCGTGTAGCACAGCCGCTGACCCAGCAGCAACCACAGGACCCACTCTCCCTGCCGGTGCCTCCTTCTGCCACCACCAATGCACTGCTTCGGCCTCTTCCGGACCCACCGCCGAGGCAAGCGCGGCGAGGGCAGGCAGGAGCATTTGACCAAAGGGATATGAGAGGTTGACAAGCATGGAAGCTGGTCCTCTGTGGCTGGGCCCAATGAGCTCTGCTGCGAGCACGTAGCACGTGTTGCCCAGGCCTGATGTGGCGATGCCGGTGAGCAGACGCAGGAGAGCGTACGAGTGAGGGGAGGGCGTGAGGGCTGTGAGGGTTGTGAGGAGGGAGGCGAGGAGGGACGCGAGGAGGAGAGTGCGCTTGCGACCCAGAGGGCCGTCTGAGAGGAACGCGAAGAAGCACGAACCTGGGATATGCACGGAGGGAGGAGAGGGAGGGAGACAGGAGGCGAGAGCGGAGAGGGGAGAGGGGAGAGGGGAGAGGGGAGAGGGGAGAGGGGAGAGGGGAGAGGGGAGAGGGGAGAGGGGAGAGGGGAGAGGGGAGAAGAAGCATGGCAGTGGCCATGAGCTTAGGTTTATAAAAAAGGTTTATCAAGTGCCGGTACACAGCACATTTATGTTTTCGTATTGAAGCTATGTTTTGGGGTCGAAGGTCTACAGTTAACTCAACCTGCCGGTGAGACCCAATTTTCTATGCGCCTCACTAGTAGGCTGCAAGGTGCATAGAATAGAACGCACCGGCGCAATAACCCATGAAGTATCCCGAGTCGATCCATGCTAGCAGCGCCTGTTGCCCACAGATGAGACCCCACTCTGACACCACTGAAACGCTTGTTGGCTCTGACCACTGCCACGTGGCATTCTCCTGTTGGCCTGCCTTCTGCTGCCACATGTCACGCTGCTGCTCCGCGTCCACCTGGCAGAGAGTCTTCCCGACGCAGGAGGGTGCTGTGCAATGCCACGCTGGCATGCGCTCTGATTGGTGTGGAAGAAAAGGAGAGAAAATTGGACAATTGCACGATGGCGTGCTGTTCGGCTCAAGTGGGGACTCCAAGATGGAAGCCAGTGCGCAATGGTAGTTCCAGAAATGTTCTAAAAGCGTTACAACTCCAGTTGCTAGCTCAACTTTCATCTCTTATCAAACTACAAAATGCAGCTCGCAGGGTGGCAGCATGACATGGGCTCTGATTGGTGGAAAAGGGTGCCTTTTATAAACTCAAATATTGGTGAAAGAAAAAGTGATGGGGAAGGTGGGTGGATGGGAGGTGAGGGAGGAAATGCTTGTGGGGGAAACGGAGACATGGGAGGGGGAGCAACGGAATTCAGAGAAAAGAAAGACCTGGGAGCGCACCTGTGAAGATGATGATGAACGTGAAAAGCGCCTCGAGGGACCACGCACATGCGACGAGCACGGCATGGCGGATCTGACACGGGCCTAGCTCGCCCACGTACTTTTGTAACACGCCATCCACCGTTAGTATCTCCTCTGCTAACATCTCCTCCGCTAGGATCTCCTCCGTCAGGATTTCCTCCGTCAGGTTGTCCTCCGTCAGGATCGACTCTGTTAGAATATCCCCCGTTAGGACCTCATCCGTTAATATTTCATCGACCGATTTTCTGTACGACAATTCCTCCATTAATCCCACTTTTTCATCAGAGATAAAACGAACTGCAAGGCCCCGGAATGTTACGGGAGCGGACCGCCCGTGACGAGCTCCTACTTGTGCCACACCTGGTTTAATCACCGTTCTTCGACTCTCCGTCTCCCATGTCTCTCCGTCCAGCCCCTTTCTCGTCCTGCCTTATTCGCACTTCACAGGAATGTTTTCCTGTTCGTGGTGAGGTGATGTGATGTGTAAGGACGCGTCACAATTTCAACACCGGTGAGGATCAAGGTCGACACCGAAGCTGTGAACATCAATCTCCTCCGAGCCACATGTGTCGCGATCGTCCTCACGACCCTGATTTTGCGGGGTTAGAAACGTTTCAAAAAGCTGTACATGTTTACGCTTGATTTGAGTACGGTGACAGATCGATCTGGAAGAGACATCTCCCTTGGTAGCGTGAATCGAGCCTTAGCGACAATTCGCGAAATAAGGATACACAGGTCTACGAAGCTCTGCACACCCCGAACATCGATCCCCTTAGCGGATTGGTGTTGCAATTGTAACGCGTCCCAAAAGACGGCAGCTAGGGTGAAGGAACAGAGAGGGGTATAGAGGGATGCCGGGTGGTGCCATGTGAGGACGTGTCTCACTTTGGCTGGTCCGCCAGTCCGCCCAAACCTGGTCCGTCCCTGAATTTGTGCCTACAGAAATACCCTGGACTGGTCCGTCGGACCAGGGTGGACCAACCGAGTGAACCAGCTTCGGACTCATTGTTGTTGGGTCCGCAGATCCACTCTACAGTAGCGTGTAGGCGAGAGAAACTGGGTTACCATGACGCAAGACTGTACAGTCCACTTGCGCAGCGCCTCCCTGACGCGTGTGGGCGTCAAAATTTTGCGACGGAGAGAGGTGATTTCGTGATTGTTCGCCAATACAATAACTGTTCAGGGGTCCGACGTAGACCAGCTCGCTGAACCTGGATATCCTCCCCATTATAGTCCCTTGTGCCCGCTAAAACGAGAGTGCTGGTTTGCTACACCCACGGTCCACATTGCTCAGGGAGCGGGTCCACGCTTGGGTCGGATTGTTGGAGAATCAAGTTTCTGCCGCCCCAGCCCTTTGCACACAAGGAGCAGCAAGGGGGGAATGTCGGCGACGGATTGAAGGCTTCGCAAACAAATCAGAAAGTTTCTCAACCAATCAGATTGGAGCCGAATTCTCGATACAGTTCGGAATTGTTTTCAAGGAGAAGTGTCAGCAGTTTCTACAGGTTTCTACCAGACAAAATCAGCTATGACAGAGAATTCCAGAGCTTTCTTATTCATGCACCTCATGTGGCTCTCAAATCACTCAAGGTTCATGGAATCTGAATTGTGCCTAAGTTCTCCAGGAAGTTGCCTTGTCTAGCAGCCTAGTTTGAGCTATCAATCTGCATGATTGTAATGCTTAAGAAGTTGTGCCTTAGTCGGCTTGTACAATCTTGAGAAGTTGTGCCTTAATCTCATCAAGCCAAGTCCAGCAGCTCTGTTGAGCTTTTCCAGCCAAGTTTCCAGCCTTCCAGTCATCAGAGCTACTCTGTTTTACAAGTTGGTATCAGAGCCCGTCGTTTCGATCAACCGAGCCCGCCACCTCCTTATCCTAGCACAAACCGTCCATGGCGGGAGACAACCCATCTGGCCCTGTACTCCAGCCAGCCGGAGGAGCTTCAGAGTCAACATCAGCAGCTACGGGATTAGTGGAAGCAGTTGCACCAGGCAGTCCTTCAACAACATACTCACCACTCACCTCCTTCATGCCTAAGCTTCACCTCCCCAAGTTCAACGGCAAAGATTTTCCAACATGGGCAACCCAGTTTGAGCTCACTGCATCTCTTCTGGATCTGTGGCCTTACTACACTAGAGAAGCATCCAAACCAGCAGCAGATGCTTCAGAAGCTGAAAAAGGACTTTACGAACGGCGCAACAAGGAGGCCTTCCTCTACCTACTCAATAGCATTCACAAGCAGCAGTTGAAGTCGCTCCTGCCCTGTTCTACCAAGGCAAACAGTGCAGAGGAAGCATGGAGCCGACTGAAGCCAATGCACCAGTCAAAATCCGAGAGCAGCCAGGCCGAGATGTGGAGCCGCTTCATGAGTCTCAAGATGGAAGAAGAGGAACCAGCCCAAACATACCTTCAACGAGCTGAAACGATGCTAGAGGAAGCAGCAGCGATCGGCTTGGAGATTCCAGAGTCTCTTTTCAAGACCGTCATCCTCACCGGCCTTACACCGGAGTGGGACACTTTCCGTGCAACACTACAAGCACTTCCGCAGTCAATGAAGACCCGTGCGTTCATCTTCGAAGCCCTTGTCAACGAGCAGCAAAGTCGAGACCTTGCACGAAACAGGCGGAGTGACGAGGGTGCGTGGAGTGCTGCAGCAGCTACAAGATATGACAACCAATCCCAGAGGCAAGGAAATTTCAGCCCAAACCGCCCTCAACCATACTATGGTACGAATTTTCAGTCACCTTCCAACCCATACAAACCCTCTCGTTTTGCTTAGTCAAGTCCTCCCTATAAGTCAAGTCCCTATGTCCAGCCAAGGCCTTCTATTCCTAATCAATATCAGCCTAGGAATGCAAGAGTTAATCCGCCAAGAGTCAATAATTTCAGCCAAGCCTCGAATGCTAAAAAGTTTAATTTTGAGTGTTTTTGTTGTCATGAGTGGGGTCATCCGTGGTATGCTTGTCCTAAGAAGCCTCCTAATTGGGTCCCCCCTCTTCAGCTACTATCTGAAAAGGGTAAGGCAGCCATAGCAAATATAGCAAGTCATTCTACAAGTCAAAATGAGTCCAAAGATTCTGATGGTCCTGTCCTTTTCAACGCTGCTACTTGCATGCACGTTTTTTCTACTAGTAGTGAGCAGTTTATTCTTGATAGTGGCTATTCTGAAACCATGACTCCCTATCAGTCCATTCTCAAAGATTTTCAGCCCTCGTATGACTCAAAAGCTGTGACACTTGCTGATCTTGGCAAAGTACCTATCAAAGGAGTCGGCAAGCTTGAGTTTGAAAAGGATGGTAAGACTTTTTGTGTCAATAAAGCTTTATTTGTTCCTGATTTGGGAGCAAACTTGCTCTTAGCTGGACAACTTGAAGAGAAAGGTGCCTCTGTTCTTTTGCAAGGGGGGAAAGCCAAAGTGTGGGGTAGTGCAGGAAATTTGGTGGCTGAAGGCAAGCGTACCGGGCGTCTCTACAAGATGAAGTTGGAGATTAAGCGCGGTTCTAGCAACGCGAAGAACGGCGTTGTTTCGCTTCCCGCTGTTTCAACCGATCAAGTCAACAACAAAGGGAGTATCTCCCAAGCTGAGGTATGGCATGGACGCTTGGGGCACTTGGGGATGCAAGCATTCAAAGAGTTAGTAAGTCACAAGAGCGTGGAAGGACTTAATTTGAGTGAAAGTGCAGTCAAGTCTCTTTCTACCGTCCCATGCCCATCTTGTGTCAAAGGTAAGTTAGCAAGAAAGCCATTTTTTCCTTCTAAGTCTCAGTCAAGGGACCTCCTAGAGTTGGTCCACACTGATGTATTCGGCCCCATGCGAGACCCTACTCGAAACGGTAAGAAATATTTGGTGTCTTTTATTGATGACAAGAGTCGTTTCTCGTGGTCCTCTTTCATCAACACCAAGGATGAAGTGCACAAGTGTTTCAAGCAACGGCTAGCACTTGTTGAGAGAGAGTCAGGGAAGAAGTTACTCACCTTGAGGTCGGACCGAGGAGGTGAGTACATGGGGACAGCATTTCAGGGGGAGTTGTTGGCATTGGGCATCAAACAACAGTTCACTTGTCCCTATAGTCCTCAGCAAAACGGAGTGGCAGAGAGGTTTGATCGCACTATTCAAGCTATAGCTACCACTTTTCTTCAGTTTAAGGGCCTTGACAAGCTCTGGTGGGGTGAGGTAATCACTATGGCAATTTATGTTCGCAACAGGAGACCAACAAGGCCCCTACCGGATGGTGTAACGCCATATGAGGCTTGGTTTAGAGTTAAACCAGATCTTTCTATGCTTCGTGTTTTTGGTTCCATGGCCCAATACCGTGTTCCAGATGCAAAGAGACTCAAGCTGGACAGCAAAGCTCATTGGGGCCTCTTCATCGGCATGAGCGACGAGAGCAAGGGATGGGTCCTTTGGAATCCCGTCACCAAGCGAGAAGTGGTTTCAAGGGATGTGGTCTTCTATGAAGACATGTCCCTTGCAGATTGGCACAAGTTTTCCTCTTCTTCCTCTCTACCACCCTCTATCCAGCAGGAACTAGCAAGAGCACAAGAAACAACATAAGAGGAGGAAGAAGATGACACAGATTCTGACCATAGCGGACCGATCATCGATCTCCCTCAAGCCGTCGTCAACGAGACCAGCCGTGCCACACCAGCGCCACCAGCAGCTACACAACCAAGTGGAGATGAAGTTCAGCCATCAAATGAAGACCATCCACCTCAGGAAGTCACCGTTCCATCACCACCAAAGGAGCAGCAGCCATCCGTCACAAACCAGCCAGCTACTTCAACACCTACTCCGCAAGTTCAACGTCCATTGGATTAGCCCACCACTACGCCACCAAACCCATCATCACCCGCCACTCCAGAGGCAACTACCGACACTCATCATCATCCAATGCAGCAGCAATCAACAACCACAACACCCCAAGTACCTACATCCACACCATCTACAATTCTTCCTACCAATAAGACAACCATCACCGCAACATCTCGTTCTCACACACGTTCATCACTTCAGGTTCCAACGTCAAGCCAGCTCATAGCACGAGGATCTCTTCAGCGAGTCACCACCAACACCAGCTCCAATAGCCCACTTCTTCACCCAAGACCTTTCTCAACTTCACCCCCACGTCCCGGAATTGGCCGTCATCAGTTACCGTCATCTTCAACACCGAGAAACAACACCAATCAGCCCCATTCATCATCACCTCTTGACAACGCAGCGTCATCATCAATCCATAAGCTTCTAGTCTCAAGATCCCCACCAAGAGCACCTTCACAACCAACTATGCCGACAAACGTTTCAGCTTCACCGCCACGAGCCATCACTCCTATTCCTCAAGTCAACACCGATAATCGAGAGAGTTCCACGCCGGGAGAAGATCATGCAGCCGTGCCGCTGTCGCAGCCGACGTCGCAGCCGTTGTCTCAGCCGCAAATGACAGTGTCAACGCATCGAAGCACTGTGAGACCGAACCCTACTACTGATGTGTCTCAGTCAAGTGAGGAGTTGGGTAAAGGTAAACGAGTCCGCAAGGTGAAAAAGCCCTTCACATTCATGGTTGACATGTCATCAAGGTGCACGTGTGAGGAGAGTGAGAATTGCATTCACAAGAAGGTAGAGGCAATATGCATGGTTGCGTCACACCTTCCACGAGAGCCATTGAGTCGTCGTGAGGCAGTGGCAAGTCCCGAGAGAGAGCATTGGTTGAAGGCCGAGGAAGAAGAGATTGAGAGTCTCATGAAGAGAGGTACATGGCGTCTTGTTGAGCCACCTCCAGAGAAGAAGGTAATTGGTGTCATATGGGTGTACAAGATTAAGGTAAAAGGTGATGGTACACTTGATAGGTACAAGGCAAGGTTAGTGGCAAAAGGTTATTCCCAAATTCCAGGTCTTGACTTCACCGAAACCTTTGCCGCGGTAGCGAAGTACACCACGGTACGAGTCCTCCTCGCCATAGCCGCATATCTTGGTCTCCATATCCATCAAATGGATGTCAAGAACGCATTTCTCTACGGTGTCTTGGACGAAGAGGTATACATGGCACAACCCGAAGGTTATGATGATGGTACGGGTCGATTTTGTCGCTTGGTAAAGTCACTTTATGGTCTCAAACAGTCCCCACGGGTATGGTATCATGCTCTTGAGACGGTACTCTTCAAGCACGGTTTCACAAGGTCCATGAGAGACAACGCGTTCTACTTCATGCACACGAGTAAGGGGGAGTGCATTTGGCTGTTGGTATATGTTGATGACCTCCTCATAGTCTCATGTTCTCTTGATCTCCTCAACAAGGTGAAAGGTATTCTCATGAGTGCATTCACGATGACCGATCTTGGTGAGCCGAGTCATTATCTTGGTATGAACATTGTGAGAGATCATAAGTCACGGTCCATCTTCCTATTCCAGCAAAGGTACATCCAAAAGGTCCTTGAGAGGTTTGGTCTTGATGATAGCAAACCATCACCTACCCCGCTTCCTTCCAACTTTGTCCCTCTGTCATCTCATCAGCCCTATGAAGAGAGGGAGTCAAGCCTTGATATCACGGGTATTGAGGAGTTGTGTCTTGAGGAGAGTGAGCATCATGGTGAAAATTCACCCAAGGTATCCCCACAAGACCTAGCTCTTTACCAAAGTAAGGTTGGGTGGATCATGTATGCAGCTCTATGCACAAGGCCCGACCTAGCATTCACGGTATCCAAGCTAGCTCGACACATGAGTGCCCCATCACCTACCCATATGCATGCAGCCAAGCGAGCTCTTCGGTATCTCAAAGGTACTTCTAATCTTGGTCTTCTCTTCCAAGCCAGCCCACATGCAAGCTCCCTCCAAGGCTTCACCGGTGCAGATTGGGCGGGAGAATTGAGCACACGCAAGTCCACCGGCGGCTACATCTTCCTCATGTGCGGTGCCGCTGTTTCTTGGCAATCACGCAAGCAAAGTTGAGTGGCACTTTCTACAACCGAAGCCGAGTACATGACAATGACAGAAGGAGCAAGGGAGGCAATCTGGTTACGTGGACTCTTGGAGGACTTGAGGCAGCCGCAAACTCAACCGGCTCCGCTCTATGTGGACAACACTTCAGCCATCGCTCTTTCCAAGAACCCGGTTCATCATGGGCGTACAAAACACATCGAGGTGCGATACCATTTCATCCGTGAGCAACTAGAGAAGGGAGTTCTCGCCGTCAACTTCTGCCGTTCATTCGACCAAGCAGCAGATTTCATGACTAAGGTTCTTCCACATGATGCATTCAACATGTGCAAGGCAAGAGCAGGTCTCATGACACTTCATGAAGCAGTGCAGCAGTTTGAGCAGAATGAGGGGTATGAGGAGAAGCAATATGGGCAGCAGCATGGAGTGTATGCCAAGGAGATGTAAGAGGAGAATCAGCTGAAAACGGTGCGTCAGTGTTATGAATCAACTTGCAGAGTGCGCAGTAAAACGAATAACGAGAAGGGAAATTACTGAATTACTGAATGAAGAAACAATGAAGTAGGGAGGCCTAAATAGGGGAAAAGCTAGCTAGGCGGGGGGTTCGGGATGGGATGGCTCGGTGATGGTTGCGATTGGAGCGGAGGCCGACTCGGAGGTGGTTCGGTGCGACGAAATAGGCAAGACAGGTTCGTCGCATGACCCTCGGGATGGCCTCGCTAACGAGTGCCTCAGTAAGGATTTGTAAATCCTTACAGTCAGGCTGAAGCCTGCTCTTTCTACGTTTGCGAAGAATGCCGAATTCCGAGGTGTGCGAAACGTTGTCCTTCATAGTTCCCAAACTTATCCAACCCCTTAGAACCTGAACAGCCTAATATTGCGGTGAACATGTTCTGTAGAGGAAAACGAAGTCCATTGAAGCTTGTAAGTAAAAGAACGTCGAGCAACAGCATGCAATTTACACACAACGTAAGCCCTGGACAGGAAGCCCAATGTCACCAGGCGAGAATCACGCTAGCAGAACTGATGTACATAGATTGTGTCACCTTCCGAAGTGCTAGCCCAAACATCAGAACGGCAGGTGTGCGTAAGTGGCTAGCATCCAGACATCACGCTCCAACTCGCACTCAAGTCCTCCTGCTGCCGCTCTCTTGCTGCAGGCGCCAGTTGGCAAGGAACCTGTTAAAATGTGCAGGGGTGTATTGGTGCGTGCACCCAACGTAAGCCATGCCTTGATACACAGGGTCCTCCTCCCATCGCTCAGGGGCTTGGGACGGCACCAGGGGAGGCAGCATAGACGGGGACGCTGCTACCTCTGCTGCCACAGCATCTGCTGGTGTTGTTGCTGCTGGAGATCTTATCCTGTGATGACAAGCGTGTGAGTCAAGGAAACGGGTAGTGTGAGAGCATGGAGCGGGAAGACAGGGGTTGTAAGGAAATGGAGAAGGACGGGAGGGGGGAAACCAGAAGGAGGAGGGGGGGGTGGTGGTGGAGGGTGGGGTTTATAAAAGAAAAAACATGCATTAGAGACAGACAAAGAGTTCACAGATATCAGTGCACAACTGTGAATGTACTGAACTCTGTAGTTTGCAAATGACCAAATGAACGACCCCATCACAACGCCTAAGGATAACCACATGCTCTTACTCGTCCTCTTCGCCACGCCCCTTGCTCCCTCCGTGCCTCTTTCTCTCACTCCACGCAGCCCTTATCTCCTTTATCCAATCATCCTCCTCTTCCTCCCCTCCCTCCCCTTCTCCCTCCACCTCGCCTTTCTCCCCTTCTCCCATAGCCGCAACGTTCTCCCCAACACCATAAGGGCCCTCCCCATCCCAGCCCCTCACATCCTCTTCATACACCACAAACCCCGCCCCATCCCCTTCCACTCGCGCCAGCCCCTCACCCCCCCACTCCCCACCCGCAGCGCGTGTCATCCCCCCTTCCCCCGCACAGCCCAGCTCCCCCATCACTGCACGCCCGAGCTCCCCCCCTCTCTCCCCCACGCCCTTCCCATCCGTCTCCACGCGCCAATCCCCATGCAAGAAGCTGGGAGACTCAGTTGCGCGGGGAATAACAGGAGAAACATCCGCAGTTTCGGGCGGAGGCTCGGAAGCGTGCGACTGAGGTTCAGAATGCTCATGAGTAAACAACCGCCGGTTGGGCTTCGGCCGTTTATCAGTTCCGCGTGTAACGCGTACAGCAGTGGCAGTGTCTGAGGCTGCAGTTTGCCCTGGCCCTGCTTCCTCTGCACGTCCCGTGATTTTCCCTTTGACGTGAACATTGAAACTCTTCACATAGCCATCAGCATCAAGTGCAGAAGGACCAGTGGTAGCAGAAGTTGCAGGTACCCAAGACTTAATCGCGGACGCCTCTTTGCTGGAAGGGAGCAGGTGGCAAGGGTAAGAAGGAATCAAAAAGGAAAAAATCGAGGTTTTTTTCTTTCTTTCTTTCTGTTCTTTGGAACGCGGAATTGGATAGCGTTGGCTGTTACGGGAGAAGAGAGAGGACGTCGCGAGAGTGAGTAGGATTGGTGGTGCGCGCGATGAGACGGCGACCGGCGACACGTCGAACACGTGGAAATGCGACAACAGGAATTGTCACTTACGATCGACGCGGCCGCTGGAGGTGCTGCGGCGAACTAAAGACGACCGATGCTCCAACACGTTCCTGGTCCGCTCGAAGCGGCGGTTCCTGCTGCTGCTCATGCAGTGGGGACAGATGGCGTGGGATGCGGCAAAAAAGGGCGTTGTAAAACATCAGGCTAGCCTGCTTAGTCAACCAAGCCTTCACGCAAACATCGTGAATCGACGCGGCTCGGGTGCTAGCATCTGCGAGAACGTGAGACGAACTTGGAGCAGGCGCAGACGATACGAAACGCAGAAGTACCATGGTACTTCCAGCTTAAGCTGGAATTGAAAGGGTGCACTCACAGACATAGTTCGCCACAGGTTCGAGGCATGACTCTTCGACGATGTATCCTCCATATTGATCCACACACCCTCGCTCAGTATGGCGGACAGACTTGGATCAAAACGCTGATAGGCTAGGCTTCTGGCTTAGACGGCTGTCAGCAAGCAAAGACCTCGACCAAGGAGCTTGTTACTGGCCGTTAGGCAGACGGAAAGACCAGGATGGCTAGCAGCACGTCGTGAGGGCAGAGATAGTTGCGTAACTTGCGCTGGTAGCAAGTGTGACGTGATGGGATGGCATGGTGAGTTTTTCGTGGCGGAGGGGGAGTGGGAAGTAGGGAACCCAACGGCCCCACGACATGAGTCTTGGCGCCAAATTTGTTCAATTTCTCAAACTATATTCTCGCTACAAGCGAGAGCTTGATTCAGGGAGCCCCTTGCTCGGTAAGCACACAGCAACCTAATGTTCCCACCTTTAGATAATCAACAGTTATTATATCACAAAAGAGTCACTCAAGTGCTGCATACGCACCAGGATTCAAATAGAGGCGTTAAATAGGAATTAATGTGTCATGTTTGCAACGAGTTTTCAGTTTTTACATTATGTTCATCTCAACTTAATCAAATGTATACAAAATATTGCAATGAGTATTTTTTACCGCAGTTGAATCATTCATATTGTTACGAATAGTGATCAATGAAACATCACTGTGCACTTCTCACCGCAGCAAGCAAAGCACGCACTACCGAGGTCGAAGACAAAAGGGCGGAAGTAATGCGAAGGGACGTACGGTTACGAGAAGCATTTGGACCGTCAAGCAGACAGCATAAGGAGCAGTAGTGGCGAGGATTCTGCCCGAACAGTTTCGTAACCACCCGGAGTCGCACGGTTGGATTTAGCTGTAATAAGGGAATGTACCCCTTAGAGTGTTGGAAACAAGTAATTTAAGCGCCTCTTTCGTGTGGAAGCACTAAGTCATAAACTATGCGAAACACAGCGAAGCATCGACGAGTCAACCCTCGGAGGTTGAACAACTGCTGGAGGTTACGCGAAAGTCAAAGGTCGGCGACCTTTGACCTGACAAGTACAGCACGACAGCAAGGACAAACAACTGACTCGTTATTGAGCAGCTGCCCGAGTCGTCACTGTGTCGAACCGCAACAGCAACAACAAAACAGTTATTAGCTATAACCCTTCATATTCCCTTGTACTCTTATGAAAGCTTGTATATCTATGTTTTAATCAATCTACTTTGCCCTCACATACCAGCGCAAGGTGGTTCACAGACTTATCATTAAACGCTTCCGCTATTACACAGTTCCTACTAAGAGTTTAGTCCTGCAAAGATCCTAAGGGCTTTTCTCAGCCCAACATGGTATGAGAGCTATCAGGACAAACCCAACTACTATCAACACACCTACAACATCATAAGGCATGGCAACGCAGAAGGAGAGAAGCTCCTCTAATGGCTCTCCCGGTACTACTCCTACTCCACCTCCTGTCTCTGGCCTACAGACAGAGAAGGGCACAACAACAAGACCGGCAAGTGGGTCTACCGAAACTCCCGCAAATCAAGCCGCGGGCTTCGACCCAGACATGATGGAGAAGTTCTTCTTCATGTCCTTGTACGAACAACACTAGGAAGGGGCACCTGCGCAGTCAAACAACAGCAACAACAACAACAACAACAACAACAACAACAACAACAACAACAACAATAACAACAACAACAACAACGTGACACCGATGAGCCTCGACGGTTCATCCTACGCTCGAGGAAATCAGCAACAACAACCCACCTTTGCCCCGTACGAACCCCAGCGTGGTTCCGTCAGCTTCATGCCGCGCCAGCAGCCTTCACCTGAGCAAGAAAAGACATTAGATGCACTGCAAGTTCAGTCGCAGTTTGCGCATGTCTTAAAACTGCAGACATCAAGACCGTTCGACGGAAAAGACTTATTTACCTGGTCGTTCGAATTCGAGCTGATGATGGAAGGCGCGCAGATTCTTGGCTTCGTCGACGGGTCTCTGCCATATCCAACGCACGGGACGCAATACGACAAGCAGCAGTACACATATCAGTCCATGATGGCGTACACAATCCTACTGCGCAACGTCACAACGAACCAGCAGCAGAACATTCAGTCTTACCGGGGATACGGGAACTCCGCCAAGTTCACGTACAACCACCTAAAGAACGTGTATCAGGCAACAGACAGCGTTAACCAGAGTCGGTTAATGGCACAACTGACAACAGTTGAAATGAAACCTGGCAAAAAGGGGATGGCGAATATCAGTCGCTGTCGCGAATTGCGCGACAAACTCCTTCGATGCGGAGGGCCGATATCGGAAGACACCTTCGTCACAGTCATCATTGGCGGTCTTGGTCCTCATTGGCGCTCCACTCGCGCCATACTCCAAGCTCACGGGAAGATGTCTGAAGCAGCACTCTGCGCTGAAATCCACGCTGAGCAGCAAGACATGGACCTGCAAGAGGAGCGGCACAAGAAGAAAACGTCAGTACCCGAATTTGGGTTTCATTGTCAACGACGCTACAACAACAACAACAACCGGCACCGACCAAAACCCGTACCTCCGTTCTGTCATCTCTGCAAGACTTCAGGGCACCCTCGCATACACTGCCCGAATCGACAGCAGTCAACGCTGCCGCAATGTCAACTTCGTCCTTCAAGCAGTCAAGTGGCGTCCACACAAGCGCACCCCACGAGTTAACTGCAGCCCTCAACGACATCGTCAACACAATCTGCACAAGGAGCAAGAAACATCGTCAGCTGCATGGCAAGATTGACTGACTCCTCTGAGGAAAGTAGAACGAATGAATGACTAAGGAATGGAAGTGATACATGTCAGAACATATAGCTTACTTGTTTCTGTAGGCTATAGTGGGGTATCCCATAGGGGGTACAACCCAATTAGGGTTTCCTATTTGTACCCACTTCATTTCATAGTCATTCACTCCCGTTCATTCAGTTTCTCATGGTATAGAGCGGGTCCCTTCTAAGGACCGTTTTTTTTGGGCCCACCCACGATCTTTTTTTCCTGCCCGGAGCGCGCCCTATTCTCCTCGAGGCGCGCTCCCCCTAGTGCGTGTCGAGCTGCCCTTGTGGCGCCCCGAGAGTCGCGCGCGCGACTCATTTTTTTTTTCGCGCGCGCGGCCTGGGCCCCACTTCGCGCGGCCCTTACAGCCGCGCCGCGCCGCCCTCTCGGCTCTGCCGCGCCGCGCCGCCCTCAAGACGGCCGCGCGGCCTCTTCGTCGCTGCGGCAGGCCCCCCCCCGCTGCACCTCTGTCGGCCCCGCCGCCGCCTTACCTGACGGCCGCCGCCTCACCTGACGGCCCGCCGCCACGCCCTCTGGCCCGCCACCTCACCAGACGGCCCTGCCGCCTCACCTGACGGCCCACCGTCTCACCTGGTGGCCCGCCACCTTACCTGACGGCCCCGCCGCCTCACCTGACGGCCCGCCGCCACCTTACCTGACGGCCCCGCCGCCTCACCTGACGGCCCGCCGCCTCACCTACTGGCCCGCCACCTGACCTGACGGCCCCGCCGCCTCACCTGACGGCCCGCCGCCTGACCTGCTGGCCCGCCACCTCACTGACGGCCCGCCGCCTCCCCCGCTGGCCCGCCACCTGATCTGACGGCCCCGCCGCCTCACCTGACGGCTCCCCGCCTCACCTGCTGGCCCGCCACCTGACCTGACGGCCCCGCCGCCTCACCTACCGGCTCGCCACCTCACCTGCTAGCCCGCTGCACCCTGACGGCCCCACCGTCCCCTGTCCCGGCCCCGCCGCTGCACCCTGACGGCCCCCCCGTCCCCTGTCCCGGCCCCGCCGCTGCACCCTGACGGCCCCGCCGTCCCTTGTCCCGGCCCCGCCACTACACTGCAGCCGAGCCGCCCAGCAGCAGCCGGACCGCCCAGCAGCAGCCGAGCCGCTCAGCAGCAGCCGAGCCGCCCAGCCGCAGCCGAGCCGCCCAGCAGCAGCCGAGCCGCCCAGCAGCAGCCGAGCAGCCCGGTACCCGAGCCGCCCGAGCCGCCCGAGCCGCCCGAGCCGCCCGAGCCGCCCCACCAGCTCGAGCCGCCTGCTGCTGTCCTACCCGACTCTCCTAGCCCGGTAAGACTTTCAGCTGCTGCCATGGCCACCCCCAATGTTCTTACTTTTGACGCTGAGGGGAGGGCCATTGACTTTGCCGTCTGGATTGAAGACCTGCAGCTGTACTTACTGTGTGATGCGATAGATGAGGTCTCTCTCTTTGACTTTGTCTCTGGCGCTGTCCCTGCCCCGCCTGCTGATGCTGACTCTGCTGCTCGCTCCAAGTGGGCGACCCGCGATGCTGCTGCACGTCTTGCTGTGCGTCGCCACCTCCCTTCCTCTGAGCGTGCCCACTTTAGTCAGTGCAAGACCGCTCAGGCCTTGTACGACGCTGTAGTTGCACGCTACTCCTCCCCTTCCTCCGCTACCCTTAGCCGCCTCATGCTACCGTTTCTCTTCCCTGACCTCGCTTCCTTTCCCACTGTTGCTGACCTAGTTACCCACCTCCGCGCTAGTGACTCCCGCTACCGTGCTGCCCTTCCTGCTGAGTTCCGCGCTGCGAACCCTCCTCCCATGTACATCACTCTCTACTTTCTCGTCACCCGTCTCCCTGAGTCCCTTCGTGTCGTTAGGGACCAGTTTCTCTCTGTCTGTCCCACCACTCTCACTGTCGACCTCCTTGAGGAGTCCCTGCTAGCGGCTGAGAAGAGTATTGTCGCTGTAGGGGCCTCTCGGGGTGACCCTCGCACCCCCATCTTTGAGGGGTGTGGTCCTTCCCCCCTGCTGCCCTCTGTCGCCTCTGCCGCTGCGGCCGACCTCGCTGGTTTTGAGTCGGTCGGCGCGGCGTCTGCCCCCAGCGGCAGACGCCGCTCTGGCAAGGGCAAGGGGGGCAAGGGGGCGGGTGGAGCTAGAGGGGGCGGTGGAGGAGGCGGTGGGGGTGGAGGGGGGAGTGGGGGTGGCAGTGGGGGTGGTGGC